AACAGAATTTCTGTTGACGTCATAGCAAGAGAAAAGTCAGGTCTAAATGTGGCTGAAAGGTGGAAGAAAGTCTTACAGCAACATCCAGACACTGTCATTTTCAATAAAATTATTTCAATGTCATTTCAATCTATTGTATCAGGTTTGAGTTTGAGCAGCACACAAGTCCTTTTACTTATTGGTGGAATTTGCGTCAATTTTTATGTCCGACACAAATGAAAAATAGGTTCTTGTAGCTGTGATAAATAAATAAAGATTGAGTTTGTTATTGGCTCTTAGGTATTATTTCATTATTTGATAATGTACTTGTAAAATGCAAACAATTAAAAAAACGACTTACCACTAACTGTCTCAGCGCTTCACCTGGTGTGTGAAAGCTTATTGAACGTATTAAAAAAAAAACACTTATAAAGAGGGTATTTTGATTCATACATTGTTTTTCTTTTTAAAACCCTAAAACCCACACTGCACTTTTTTGTATTTAAAGAAAGTGTCCAAAATGTCGTCCTCCACTTTCCACACAAGCTTCATTACGACGAACCCAGTTTCTTCTTACTCTAGGTCCTTGAAGTTGTCCATTTATTATTTCAACCGTATTAAATTTTTTTTCGCGAAGTTTTGCTTCAGTTGTTATTGGACCAGCCCCATAAACCATCCCTTTAAGTTCTCCCCAATACCAGAAATCCATCGGATTGAGGTCAGGCGATCTTGCTGGCCATTTTCGAGGATCAGGAGCATTTCGACCGATCCAGCGATTTGGATAATGTTCATTCAAATACTGAATGATGCCTAGAAATGTGTGGTGGTGCCCCGTCATGAGGAAACCACAAATTTTGTCTTCGTTGTTCTGGTAGGTTATTGGCTAGAAAGCTAAGGTATCCTTTTCCTGACAACTTTGGGGGTAACTCGAAAGGGCCAATTACCTGATCGTCAAGAATACCCGACCAAATATTTATTTTAAAACGTTGTAGTAAATGACCTTCATGAATGGTATGAGGATTTTCTTGGACCCACGTGTGAGTATTATGGAAATTTAATATCCCGTCTCGCGTAAAAGTACATTCGTCCGTCGCTAGAATTTTTTAAAAAAATCCGGATTTTCAATGTTTTTGTGCAAAAACCACTGACAGAATGTTTGCCTGCGTCTTCTGGTAACAAGGCCAGCACTCGTTGTACATGGTAGGGATAAAGCAAATTTTCCTGTAGGATTCTATGGAGTATGGTATGCGATAGTCCTACGCGGCGGCCTAATTCCCGAGTGCTGATATTTGCATTGATTTCCACGATATTTAAAATGTGTTCCTCCGGCTCTACAGTAACCTGTCTTTCACGAGTGTGAATATTAGTGGGTTGAACGCTTCCTGTATCTCGAAGTCTTTGGTACACTTGCACAAATGTCCTTCTGTTTGGCTGTACCCGTTGGCAAAATCTGTTGCGATAAATTTGAGCTGCATGATTTGAATTCTGACGAGCTTCACTGTAAACTAACATGTCGGCGAACCCTTAATTCGAGAACATTGTAAATCAACACGATGACGTACGCGAACAAAAACAAAGGAACATACTGACCACTGTTACCGTTTGCAATCGATTGCCGGTTCGATAATAGTGATGGTGACCGACGCGCTGTTGTCATGTGTGTTTTAAATATTCAATTTAATGAAACTTACTTACTTACTGACTACAAATTTTGGCTTAACTTAGAAAAACTTAATGCAATTTATTTGTTAATTACCCAATTTAAAAACGGTTTAGATTAGATTATAAAAATTAGTAAGATTGTGGTGATTTTGGTCGATATAAAGCACTTAAATCTGTAAACTATAAAGCCATTTAGATAAAAATCTATTGACTCTTGGACTATGGGTCGTATGAACTTTTTGACTTCTTTTGACCGCACCTGTTACCCATTTCAATAATGACTACCATAACGTTTACACGCTGTATGAAGTATTTCTTCATTCAATATGAGAACTAGGAACCGATGTTACATAAATCGCATTATTCTCTAGGTTGAAAGACATTTTACAAAAAATCGACCAAATCCATTAGATCCATTACTTCAAAGATACCTTCTCATTAACTCAATTTGTGCCAAAGGCTGTTGAGGTGCCCGGGTATTTAGGTGTCTGCTTTCGCGATGACGCGACTGCTTCGGTATAAAAAAAGGAGTTAATCATAGGCTCTGTCCTGCTCAGACCATGAAATTGCAGAAAATTGTCCCGTATCTGCGTGTGCTTAACGATAAAGCCACATAGCGCGCTTTTCCAGAAATTGAGTTCGCCACCCAAACGCCATCCATCTTGACTGCGACTGCGGATGACCTCACAGCGCGCGACAGTTTCCTTCCTTTTTCGCAAATTGGCCGTTTTCGTCATTTGCCGCCCGGCGGCGAAAAAATAAAAAAATACGGACCACCCAATCCTCGGGGCTAATTACTGGCTAATTAACAAACAAAGTGAGCCGTGGAAAAAATGACGGCCCGCCAGAAACAAAAGATGCACGTTCCTCTCAACGTTGTCTGTTGCTGATCTGCGTTTCTCTACAGTTGGCTGCGAGACCGGCTGTGCTGTTATTTGATATCTTACTTCCTTTGATAATGAGTACGACGTGATACTTGTTAATTATTATAACGTCGGGTTAAATATGATCAAAATACAGTCAAATAAGCTACAGCGACAACGTGTTTTATCAAAGCCTCAGGCGTAAGAAGGACTCACATCAAAGTGTACATTGTTTCCTCAAGGTCAGTTCTTAATGTAATGCCTTGATTACATGTAACGAGTACAGTGGTGAGACAGCACAATATAACTAGGCCGAGACAGTTGTACGGGCGAGAAGGTTAGTTTTGCTAATAAAAATGAATCATAACAGCTGTATCAAGAAATATACAAAGTTACTCATACCACTTATGATTGAAGGATTATATGAATTATTGCGTGAAAAAAAGAAGCGTGTGTGGACTTGAAAATGGATTGCAAGAAGATCAGAATTTGGTGCTATACTATAACTATCTAAAACTGTAATGACTCATCGATGTTCACGTGAACATCACTTAACTACCAGTAGTCGGCTGTTCATAGGCGGGGTATGAATGTTTAACATGGGTGAACTAGATTTGTCACATGCTTAATAAAGAGTGGTTTGAAACATATTGTAAGTCAAAAATTTGGGAATTACTTTTATTCATCGTCGCTTCCACTTACATCTGACAGTAATAAACTGTCGCTATCGCTTTAGTCGTTGAAAAGGACTATAACTGGCTCTATGATGGTGTCTATGTGGTGGTCAAGCTGCCACATTTTTGTTTCTTCCTTCACAACATGACGGATAGCATTCTGCCAAGCTTCGGGCGTTACTAGCTGTATGGAAGTCTCAAGTAAAACCTTAACGTCTGGTAATTTGAAGGTTGTGTTATGGCGCGCAATATAACCCTTCACTTGAGCCCAGATGAGCTCTATTGGGTAATTGGGTTCAGTTCACAGTGGTAGGGCGGTAACCGCAGCACAGTGACACCACATTGACGGGCCATCTCATCAGTCACGAAACTAATGTTCGCAGGTTTGTGCTGTTTAATTTTTTCATACAATCCGGCTTTCACACATGAATCGTCAAACGGGATTCCCTTTTTCGCGCAACCATTGGTGCATGTCACTTTTTCGAGATACCATAGTCGGTACACGTTCAGCTCGACGACTATGGTAGGAAGCATTATCCATGACGATCACAGAGTTGGGCTCAACTCGCTGAAGCACCCCTTGAAACCAGCTCTCGAAGCAGCTGGCATTCATTTCGTCATGGTAATCTCCTCCTTTCTTAGAGACGAAAATCAAGTCACACTCTTCTAAAAGGCCACTATCGCTACCAATATGAGTTACGATCAATCTTTGACCTTTCCCTGACGGTCCACGAAGACCTGTTGACAAACCTTCAATGCTTGCTTGTCGGTTACTCACTACGTTTTTGTCTATCCAGGTTTTTTTAACTGTGTGACCTGCATTTACCCATGTCTCGTCCAAATAACAGATTTTTCTGCTTTGTCGCCTATATTCAATCATTTCGCCTAGATATTTTCGACGCCAGGCGACTATTTCAGGTCTCTCTATCAATACTGACTTCCGATTACGCGTTTCGTAACGAAAATTAATTTCGTGCAGGGATTTCCTCATTACCTCGACGCTCATTTGGGGTATAATTTATATTTTCCTTGGTCGCTGCATGTACAGCCTTGAGGGTTTGTATCTCATTCCTAAAGAAGAATGAATGTACGGTTAGCCTTAACGCCATTTTGCTATCGTCATCCAATTTAACGGCCTTTCGTCCCTTCAAATTAAACTTTGGATCAGTAGTGGCTCCAGTTTTCTTCTTTTCATGCACCACCCTGCGAATGGTCCACTCTGGAACGCCTGTCATACTTTCACAACGCGCGAGTGCATCTCCCTGCGACATAGTTCTGTTCAGATAATAGAACACGTTGAGCGAGATTTCTTTCGCGTCCCTCTTCAGTGCTTTACGAAGCCGTCTACTTGTTCCCTGGCTTTCAGTACTTCCACTCGTGCCATTTGTACTCTCCATGGTTAAGTATAACCAAAACAGTAACCACAGAAACCACAACAATAACAATCACACAACAATTCTTATAAAAACACACAATATGCGATCGCTCAACGAAACACGTTCCAATGCGTTGCCGACGCCTATGAGTCTGCCGGTCGAGGCGCGTCTTTGATTTCATTGGTTCTACCGGTGGAGAACAATCAGCCATTATTTCCATCTCTGTCTGTGCTGTTGGCCACCGCAAAGCCACAGAAACGATATATGTCGTACGCTATACGGCTGTACTGGAAGGAAGCCGGGATCGAGCTCTGATCACGTGTTGATCACGCGTATGAGTCATTACAGTTTTAAATAGTTGTAGTATAGTAGCACACTTTTTACAGAATTGCAGTGGGAAGATCCTAATGAATTCAGAGTCGAAAATGCATTTGACATCCTAACAGATTTAGGATATTTCAAAAACCTATACCAGCTAACGTCAACACAACCGATAAGATTATTCGGGCCTCATGTGCACTGTATAATTGGTTGCGCCTAACAAGTCCCAGTTGTTACTTTCCAAAGGATTGCGTGGACGTAGAAGATATTGACTCTCCAACAATTGTTGAAGGGACTTGGAGACGAGAACTCATAGCCACCTTGCCATCTATCACCGATCACACTACCAGTAATTCACCACGAATAGCAAGAAATCTCAGAGACAAGTTTGCCGAATACTTTAGTGGGGCAGGTTCTGTTGGTTGGCAAGATAGAATGATTTCATAGTTGTAACCAAACCAAATAAACTACTTACATTCTCATATGTCTTTCTTTTCAGATCGTGAATAAACACCTCTTCCATTTCCTTCAGCCACTTGATGTTTGAAGTATACACATTACTGAGCCCAGCCCCTGATCGCTTTGAATCATTAATTTTGTTCAGTTCTTGACTGTACGCGGATCTCAAATTTTTAATCTTATTTTTGACTTCTTGCACTCCAAAGCCATCAATATGCATTTCTTCAACTATTGCGGCAATTGCAGCATCCAGTTTCTGTTTATTTTGTAGTCCGTCGACTGGAAATTCCACAAGCAAGAATGGGACTTATATTGTTGGATAAATTTGATTTTATTTTCAGTTTTGTATCCCGCATTTTTGCCTAACTAATTAACTGCGGAATCACACTCCTACAAAATGCGGAGCCGCTGATCCACCAAGTCTAAAGGTTAGCAAGACATTTTTTTTGTTTTCCCTTTTTATTAAGATATTATTTATACAGATCCTTCAAATGGTAAGCATGTGAGCTAATATTTTTTGTAATCTATGCTAAATTTTAATTGGTTGTGGAATGTATATACCTAGGTTGAAAATACGTAATTTCCGACTTATTTGATTTTCCAAATTGCAAGAAACCTTTTATTTCGCTCTAAAACACGCTGTTAGTCATTTCTTGCTTTCACGCCAATATGAAAGGAAAGTTTTATAATCACGGAAAACCTCGATTTCACCAACTGGTTAGAAAATACTGTAATTACGAAAAAAATTGAAATCGAGATATTGGTATTTGTTGCTGGCCTGCATGGACCTCGGCCTACACCAAAGGCATAGGTCTAGATAGTCTATTGGACCTACCAATATCTTTACTGGATATTATATGGTAAGCATGGAGCATGTAACCAGGCGTTTACCCTAAACAAAAGTACTGGTGTCTTGCTTTTAGATGTATCAAAGGTATTTGACGAGGTGTGGCACATGTGCCTCTTGCATAAGCTCATCCAAAAGGGCCTTCCATCTTGGCTACTAAAACTGTCGAAATCTTTTCTAGAAGGAAGAAAGTTTCGCATTCAGTCTATTGTATTTAAAAACGACGTGGTGCCCGGTAGTGATATTAGTGAATGGAGCTGGGAGCAATCTGTCAGGTACCTTGGAGTCATCATTGACAAGGCAGAAACATACTGATATTTTGAAATCAAAGGCAGCTTTATCCTTTGTTGTACAGATATTCAAAATCAAGCTTAATCAACAAAATTCGGTTGTATAAAATGGTCATAAGACCGCAGTGACCTACGCGGCTTGGTGTTTTCTTGCCAAGACGAACAGGCCGAGATTTCAAGTCCTGCAAAACAGAACCCTAGGCACAATCGCTAACGCCCCATGGAACATGTCAAATGAGTCCATACACAGAGATCTTGATATCCCATATCAAAGAATTATGTAAAACAACAGGCACAGCGGCGTTGTAATTAAACCGAATCGAACAGCAACCCTCTGTTGCGTGATTCAGTAGACTACACAGCCGAGCAAGTTCGCAAACATTCCAGGCCGCTCCTCGCACTGTGATCAAAAATACATTGTGAATTTCAGATAAACTAGCATTATTTGAGTATACAAAACCGAACAAAATTGTTCGGGTAGTAAAACCAATAGTTTACTTTACTTCTTTTCTTTGCTTCTTTGCTTTATTTCTTCCTTCCTTTCTTCTTTTCCCCTTAAACATGTTTGGAATCTGGGTAGCCAGACCTGACAGATTATCAGACCGACGAGATTTTTAACTAAGAGCAAAGGTCCACCGGACCGCTCTGACGAACAATGACGAATAGTAGTATGTCATGGAAAACTATATATGTCAGCATTTTCCGTTGGTCTATCTAACCTATGACCTTATTTTAACTCGGTATCGATCGAATTTTGAGGAATCTTTGACTTAAGGTTTCCAAGTGGCCTAACAACAAAAACGGCGCACTCTTGTGCAGAATGTTTTTTCTTTAATTTGTGTTATTATGGCTCCCACAGCTTTTATCGGATAATTATAAATTACAATTATAAGACAGTGTCATTGAAAACAATTATAGAGATAGAATAAAACGGTTTTACAAAAGTTGTTATTTGTATCTTAGATGCAGGTTTTTTCATTTGACTTACACTAAAATTTTGCTTTTGTTGTTACAGTGCACCCACTGAGAATGATTTGTTTTCACTGATCCTTGATTCAACAAAAAGACAAGCATTAATATACTAAGTGACATATAAATCCGAACACCCAGTTTAAATGGTTTTATTTTAATAAAATTTAGTATAAGTACTTAATGAAGCATAATAAGTAAATGATAAAAATTTCAAAATGATTGCACTTCTTTAAAGCCCTTTGACCTTTAATAATGTGTGGATGCACCCTGATGTGCTACACATTCTCCAACGCGCATAAGCATGCTTCTGATCAGGTGGTCAATGTCCTCCTGTGGTATCTCATTCCAGGCAACCACCAACTCCTCTCGAAGTGCTTCTAGAGTCTGAGGAGGACGTTGCAAATTGAGCAATCTCCTCTACCCATCATATCCCAGACGTGCTTAATTGGGGATAAGTCGGGAGATCTTGGTGGCCATGGTAACAATGTGACATCATTATGTTGAAAGAAGTCTATTGTGACTCTTGCAACATGTGGTCGGGCATTATCTTGTTGGAAAGTTGGATCTGCCAGGGTGTCAAGACAGGGTAAAAGATGGGGTTCTAGAACTTCGTGGGTATAACGCTGCGCGTTCATGTTACCTCTGATGAAGATTAAAGGTGACCCGGAACCATAAGCTATAGCACCTCAAACCATAACTCCAACAGTGTGATGAACATGTCTTTCAACAAAAAACTGTGGATTCCTCCTTTCACCACGTCGCCTTCTAACCCTGCCACGACCATCGTTCATGCCTAAACAAAATCGAGACTCGTCACTAAAGACAATATTGTTCCATTCCTGATCCCAGAGTGACCGTTGTCTGCACCACTCAAGGCGATTACGTCGGTGTTCTCGAGTTAAAGGGAGGACCCAGTGTGGCCGGTATGAAAACAAGCCAAAACTTCTCATTCGTCGGTAAACACTTCGCATGCCAATAGATCTTCCGTGTTGTGCAAACCATTCATTTGCAATGGACCTGGTAGTGGAGAAACGGTCCCTTAAGGCCAATAATCTCAGGCGGCGATCTTCACGGTCTGTTGTTCTACGGCGGCGTCCAGTGCCCCTTGCTCTTTGCGTACGGCCTTCTCGAAGCCATGCCTGACAACACCTAACCACAGTGTCTACACTTCTTTGCACTCTAACTGCAATTGCCCGAAAAGAAAGTCCAGCTTCCCGAAGTCCCACTATACGGCCCCTATCAAACTCACTAAGTTGACGAGATCGTACAGGTCTCCGTACTCTAGGCATCGTAACCGATCGTAAAGGATGTCAAGAACCAAAATCCGCCAACGTTGATTCTTTACTGCGGCTGAAATATTCATTTTTAGAGCGTTAGTGAATTAAAAAAAAGCAGTATAGAAACCGGAATGTCCAACTGATAAGGCTGAAAATTTTTTCACTTGTTATTTACAGTAAGATAAATACATTCACCAACTTTTATTAAAATAAAACCATTTAAACTGGGTGTATACACCTTAGGAAAAACCATTGTTATACATGGGAAATCATTTCTTGTCAGCAGCGCATCGGCTCGTCTACTTTCATCGCAATTCGTACATATTTCCTACCGTTAACCGCAGACCTGTATCACGAATGGGAATAATAGGCATTACGGATTTCTCGAAATACATTAAAAAATGTGACCTAGATACCTAACTGCCCCAAGCTCTTTAAATATAACACCTTAAACCAGGGTTACCAGGTGCTCAGTCACGTTGATTGTCATGTTGTACTGCGCAAGTCAGCAAACAATCTGGCGTAATAAACGTTAGGAATCATCAGGTATTGCCAGATTCCCGAATACCGGGCACCATAGTAACCGTTATAGTTGTCCTTCAAAGTTGTCAAATCGAACCTATGGCGCAAATTCGCCACACCAGGCAACTGTGCTATAAACAAACCCTGTTTATCACTACTATTTGATACTCATATGGTAGTTGTAGCCCTATCTAGCGGTCCATGATTTCTCTCAATACTGTTGTATCTCTACTGGCAACAAGAATAGGGATTACAAAATCATTTATACAACAATATACAAACATGAAAAATATGATTTGAACCCTGAAACATTAATACAATTTTAATAGTTTGAACTTTTTTCATTTTTGGAATACTCTTATGTGGAATCCGCAGCTATTTTTCCCGAAATTTGGGTAGACTTAGATTTTTAAGAAATATGACATATTGGTATCGGCAACTCTGCGAATGGGAGAAACAACGCATTTGTTGAGCGCATCCGTCTAAGCGGTAGGCGCCAGCACCCGTTCTGCCATCTCTCTCTTTTATCACTCTTCTACTTTACCCCGTTGTCCGTCACACTCCGACGCTGCCAGATAGGATCCTACAATCGAGTGTCTTTCACGCACCTACATACTTTTGTATATTTCCATCTCTCTTCCTCATCATAATGTATAATAATGGTTTTTCCCAAGTATATTACTACCATGGTCGTGAAACAGAACGTTCTCAAATTCCATTGATCGAATTTTTGATCAGTTTAGAGCGTAATACAAGATTTTTTCAGCAAGCTCAAACATTTATTTCTAGGGAAAAGTAATGGTGATAACATTAATAATCATTGGCTCCTCTATTATGGAAAGAATCACTTTGACTGTGAGGAAATTTTGACACAAACTTTATTAATGCGCATACCGTTTCAAAAATCCTGATGTATTTTAAATTCACTTTGTGCTATTTTTAAAAAATACGAAGTTGCCCAAATTTTCGTTTGAGGTGTTCAGTTCCGGTTTAGCACCTTAAAAAAAGTACCTAAAATTTCTTATATAACAACGTTGATTCATATCCCAATATAATAGTTTTCATTTGAAAAGAATCTTC